ATCAGTTATTTTTGTACTATAGTGTATTTTATTATCTATGCAGATATATATTGAAGATTTATATAATTTGTTGGATTACACACATATTGAATGGTAGCTTGTGTGTAGTTAAAGCTGTACTAATCGATATTTTTGATGTTAAACTTTGGCTCAAAGGGTTATCTGTCACTCAAATATAACATACTTGCTGCTGCTTCCCTGAGTAACCCTAGGTTCACACTGCCTACCTAAGCAGCACGTGTGCGTGGCGGAATGCCTTGCTTTTTATTACAGCGTCCATATTAACAGATTAGAACAGTCACACTGCCTGCACAGTTGTGGCTACAGTGACGCTTCACTAGAAAGTCGTGGGCTCATGGTTCCCAGCAGAAATAAAGTGAAAATGGTCTTGGTTTCAGATTAAAAGCTGGCGTTTCTGTGGACAGAATCTATTCATATGTGAACAAGATTTTTCATTGTATGGTATTTATCAAAGGGGACCTGAGTATGGAAAGAGAGGGCTGGCAGCAGCAGAAGCCACGCATCTAACACGCTGTCAGAGGAAACACCGCACGCGTGCCAGACGCAACTGTTCTGTGCCATAACCGCCACGCACTGCTCAGGTAGGCAGTGTGAATGAAGGGTTACTCAGGACAGCAGCAGCAAGTATGTTATATTTGAGTGACATAAATCAACCTCACATATGAGTGGAAGATTTAATGCTATATAGGGTAATAAGGCATGTCCAGACACACTACCAGGCAGGCAGAGGCTTACCTTGGGAATGCGATAAGAAAAAAGAAATGCTGAAAGGTGTTCACATTATAGGTCAAATATTAACTTTGCCAGTGGAGTCTTGTCGTTTAAACTGGAATCACGCAATTAGATATTAGCCATCCTCAGCCCCCAGGGCAATGTCATCGGAGTGTTTGATGGATCCTTTGATAAGATATGCCTTTATGAAATGAGATGAAAAACACGAGGATCATATTTTGATGAAAAATGTAATAAATGATCAATGTAATTTATTATAATGTTGGCTGTCTTTCAATTTCATTTCTTTTCCTATAGGTGATCTTTCTCTGGTTGCTGGAGGGTCAGGTGGAAGAGCTGCGTCAGGAGGCTCAAGCGGCACAAGCAGCTCAGTCCTAATCACATCCAGCAGCTCCCAAGCCTCCAGCTCTGGTGGATACGGAGCTAGCAAGGGCACTGGAGGCATCAGCATCACTACTCTAGGAGCCTCTTCTGCTGTATCCTCGGGTGGTGGGAGTGCAGCAGCTTCAGGGGGCTCCGGCTCAGGGGCAGGGGCAGAAGCAGGGGCAGGGTTTAGAGCGGCTGCCGGGGGGTCCACCAGCATGTCCTCTAGTTATGCAAGTGGTGGCAGACAAGGAAAAAGGGAAGGGGGTCTAGGTGCTGTGACTGTTTCAACGGTGACGAAGAACAGCTACAGTTCAGGAGGATCTGGGGAAACGAAGAGAGGATCGTCCTCAGGAATCACTTATTCACCTAGGAAGAGCACGACCACCATGGCAGCAGCTTTCTCAGAGGTCTTTGATGGTTAGTCATAGGTCAAAGGTCAATTTATTCATGCTGCTTTACTCAACTGATTGGTCTTTCACATTGTTTGTAGATTGAATTCGCCAGCAGCACACCTTTACTAAACTGAATGACCTTTATTTTGTTATGTTTCAGAGAGTTCAAGCACAAACTCCTCTCCAGAGTACAACAGGAAGGAGTACGGTAAGATTTACTTGAATCTCAGATTACACTCTGGATTGTGCACATGTATACAAACTCTTACAAACATATATGTCTTTTTTCTTTCAGGCACTTCAAGCTCTGCCACCAGAGGAAGAAGTCAGAGCAGAGGTACAGTGAGAGCTCTGGCACACTAACCTGAAGGGATAGTACATAAACACTACATATAGTTACATATCAGTACAAGTTTGGCCTTTATTTTGCAGATTAGTACCACAGGATAAAGCAATAACGATATTTAATGAAGCATATGTTCTGTTTGTTTTAGAGAGTGAGATCAGAACCAGGCTTCAGAGTGCTTCTCCTCCAGCAAGTTGTGAGTATGACTCTTCATGGCCATGCATATCCACATACCTGCAGTGTGAGACTCAGGGAAAAATAAAAAGGCTACTAGCATGTTTTCTACACTGGAAGGGCACCCTAGAGGGAACTTTATCACATTTTCTCCACTGGAAGAAGTTTATCATGTTCAAATTCATACTGTACTCTACTCCTCCGTATTTCAATAATGTACTTTTTACTCCACTACAATTTGACAGCTATAGTTACTAGATACTTTACAAACCAAGGTTTGACATAAAAAACATATGAAGAACCTTGAAAACATGATGCACTGTAAAAAAACAAAACAAAAAAACAACCTAGGGTCGGATTCAGTTGGAGTTTCCTTGAAATCAATGAACAAGGCAGTAGAAACACTACCACTTTCGTCCACAGGGGCCGCCAGAATCAACACAAAATGAAAGTTTAGGTACATGCAGGACTACTTGCATTTAAGTATTTTTTACAGTGTAGTATTGCTACTCTTACTTTAGTAAATAATCTGAATACTTTCCCCACCACTGCTTATCAGATCCTAAAGAATGTATTTATGATTTTGATTTGTTGATTTTTTGCTGCTATGCACTGTGAGACTAATGCAAATGTAATCAGGAAGTATAGTCCGTTTGAATTTGTTACTGGAGGAGGAGTGGTCCTCCGTTTGATGCCCATTGTTAGCTCTGCTGTGCAGGGACGGAGCTGGACGACGTGAAGCGTCTGCTGAGAGGAAACCCTCCCAAGACCAGCCCCGCTCAGTCCCCTAACAACACACTGCCCATCCCCAAGAAGGCCAGCATGGAAACTAGGACCATGTCTGAGAGCTCCAGCACAGGTTCAACCAATCAGCTGTTATCTTTAAGACATATTATATGATATTATGATTCATACTTCAAACAGTCCACAGTCAACAGGAAATAAGATGCTGAATGAAAATACCAGACATCATTGCAATATTAGTTTTCTGTTTTTGGTCATGAGACAGATTTATTTTGGAGTTTTAATGCATGATTGTTTACAGTACATTCCACATGCCCCCAGTTTTTAATTGTACCTGGCTGTTTACCATTTTTCTGTCTTCTATAGAGCACTATGGCAGCGTTTGGTCTGGAGGTGTGAGCAGCAGCTACAGTTACAATACCAACCCCAACAACCTGTCCACTTCCTCCACAATGTACCAGTCAGGTCAGTCATATATGTCATCAGCAACTGGTTGCCATGATGAAATGATATTGCAGATGTACTGAACTATGAACTATTTAATCTAACCATTCTGAACTCAAGTCATACCTTAAAGAAAGAAAAAAATGAATATAAAAATAGAATAAATGTAAACGTGTGTCCTGTTCAAAGGACTAATAATTAATTAGAAAAACTCAAAATCAACCTGTGTTTCCAGAAACAATGTCCTACAGCGGAAAGTAGATGAAAACTTTAAGAGGCCATATTATGGTTCATATTTGTATTTGGGAGGTCTCCTATAATATGTTTATGTGCTTCAGTGTTCAAAAAACACATTTATTTTCTGTCTGACACACTTTTCTTTAAGAAGACCCCTCCCAACACATAGTTTCTCTGGGATTCAGTGGGTGGGACTGGACTGTCACCCAGCCTAGAGGTGGTGCCTGTTACAATGTGATGTAATACTGTAACAGAAGAAAAGGCTGAATGCAAACAAGGTGTGTCAGGCAGTGTTTTCTGCAGGAGACTGTAATTCTCTTTGGCGCAGACCTTTTACATGCACAAATAACACACCAAAGCACAGGGAAAACCCCTAACAGCATAATATGGCCTCTTTAATATTTTATATAGTTTTTCTCATTTTTTTTTTTTATGCTTTGAGTATAACATATGGGATTTAATCCACCTCACTTATACTGGCTTTCAAAGGTTGATTTCTCAAAACCTCAGAACATAAAACTCATAAAACTATCTGCATAGTTGCATACCACTTGGAGAAAATATGCCTTTGTCTAATTTAAGGTGACTGACCCTTTAAAGCCAAAGCAACCACTTTCCAAACAGGCTTTATCAACTGAAATAAAATCCATTCACACTTCAAGATAAACTCCATATACAGTATGTTCCTGCTGTACATTAATCTAGATAAAAGTAAGGACATACACAAGATGAATTAAAAATAACAGTATTAAAAAATACCACCGAAAGCAGATTTCAACGAGGTATCATACAAAGGATTTTATGGAATGCCTTATCTTTTTTATTTACTGTGAGAACCCGTGCTGTGAAAATTTATTGTTACCTGCTGTGTGAGATTGTTTTTATAGGTGAACAGGGCCGGAATCTATGATATATTTTATTCTCCAGCTGTGATAGATGGACAAATAAGTCTGTGCTCTGTTCTGTCACGATGCACAGGAGGAGTTCAGAACAACCTGACACTCAGCTCTCCCTCCATGAACAGTGGACTATCTGCTTGCAGCACTGGTGAGCCTCTTCCTGTCATACAACAGCACACATCCTCAGCTTGGCCATGTCGGTGGATCACATTGTTGTTTTTCCCTCTGTCTCAGTTCCTCTGTATGGTGTTCAGAATAACCTGGTCACTAGCAGTCCCACTGTCCTCTCCCCCACAGGAACCAACACACATATAGGTAAAGCATGTGTAGTCTTCATGCATGTAGTGATGTACAGCCGATATCAAGAAAAGGTCCATTGCTTTTCTTCTAATCACCTATTAATATCATATTGCAACAACAATTGTTGTCTACTGTCATTTTTGTCTCTTCACAGTTTATGGTGTGCAAAAAAATGCATCTGGCACTGGAATTAGCACAACCACAGGTGAGGCATTATTAAGTAGGCCTGTGGGTAAATTAATCAAATTTAGTCTTTATCACAGTCACTGAAACATCCAACATCTTAGTGTATGTTTACAACACTGCTATCCATCTGTTGGGGATTTAAACGCAAAAAACTAAAATTCTGTGAAATTATATTTTTCTATATTTTTTACATCCCTATTATTAAGACAAGTGCTTACTTTTTGACATTAATTAAACTATAAATCTTGATTAATTTTCTTTAAACGTTATTGTCTACAATGTGGAAATTTGTCTTCGGTCAACACCAGTTCTAAAGAGTTACATAGACTTTTTCTCTCAGTCTCCCCTTTCTGCAGTAGAGCAAACAGAGCCATATCATCAGCATACTTAAATAGACTGAAATGAGCATTTTCCAATGTTTCTTTGCACATATAGTCGCTGACAATAGTTAGTTAGTTAGTTAGTTAGTTAGTCTGTGAGTATGGATGCCAAATATTTACAGTAGGTCCTCATTATGTAAATAGATGTTTTAATGTCATGCTGTTTGTGTCTGACAGTGAGACCCAGCAGTCCCACTCCTGACGAGGCCTCAGGCAAAGACTTCAAGTTTGTGCTGATCGAGAAGGAGAACGCTCCTGTCAAGAAGGAGACAGAGCGGTTGGTCATGGCCAAAGACACAGGGAAGCAGTTCATGTCTACTGCACCCTCCACCACTTCTGGTAACACTTCCCCTGCTCCCTCAACTTCTTCTATTGCCACTGCCATCGCCAGAGAAACATTTTCTGTGTGTGATTAGTAAAGATGTACTTGTTGTGTCTTGTAGCAACCTACTCTGAGGACTCACTGAAGAGAGAGAAGCAGAAACTATCATCCAGCACCGTGGAGGAAGGAACAGATGCTAAATGTAGACTAATATACAACTTATTATCTTATTAGTTTTGAGATGCATCACTTACATTATATCTTCTTGTTCAGCTTGTAATTATTTCTATTTCTTTTTTTATAGCTGCAACCCTAAAAGTTGCCACAAAAGACAAAGCCACCTATGCCGGTACTGTATAGACCCAATTGTACTTTTCTACTACTTTTCTATTTTACTTTATTATTATCTGTTGTATACGTGTGTGTGTGTGTGTGTGTGTGTGTGTGTTCACAGTCAAATACTGCCAAAAACCCAACAAAAAATCACAATGGGATTGCTAAAATAGCTCTTCGAATACATGAACACTGAAAATGTTACTCAAGTAAATGTACAATAAACATTATTAGGACAATGTAGTGAAAAGTATCAAAAGTAAAAATACTCAATGCTGAGATTTGACTGTATAAAATACATCTAATGATATAATACCACATACTGTTATATAGTAGCCTATATAATTAGATTCTTATTACTCATGAAAGCAGCATTTCTTTCTTATAGTTGGTTGAGGTGAAACTCTTTTATATTGGGCTGCAACAAATGATTATTTTTATTATGGATTAATCCAATGTTTATTTTCTTGATCAATCCATTTATTCTGAATTATAGTCACAATTAATCAGTAAATGTTTCAGTAATCAAAATGATCATATAACTGCAGTTTAAGACAAGGAGAAGCAAAAAATTGCCACATCTGAGAAGCTGAAACCGTGAAATGTTTCTGGCTGTTTTGCATGAAAATTTATTTTTTAATTAATCAGTTATCCAAACAATTGCTGATTTTTACTTTTATTTTTTTTATAACTGACTAATCAACTAATTGATAAATTGGCTATTCATTTAAGCTCATTTTTTATATATTGTTGGGTAGTTTTTTTTCCAAATGGAAATACCCAATTAAAGTTCAGATGCTACAAACTACAACAACTAGGCACAATAAGAGACTAGGGACAGACATATGTTGATGAATATAAACTTTATTATTAGACACTCCTCTAATGCAAACAGTCCAGTCTTATTGTCTGAGGAGAAAATATAAGAAAAATGCGAACCTTTCTGTCAACTTTGTTGTTTCTCAGAGATCCGTGAAGATAAATCAGGCTTTGGCTTCTGCTCCTGCTGCAGCTGGTGGAAGTGGCTGCTGGGCCTCCTGCTCAGCCTGCTCCTCCTCCTTGGCCTGCTCTTTGGACTCATCGCTTTGGGTAAGACTGTAAAGCAAACCCAAACATGCATTCTCTAGCAGCCTGTTATTTAGTTTTACAGGGCTCACTGAAGGTGATCTGCACATGCCCATCATCTCCTCTCTGGCCTCACAGGTGAAGAAGTGAAACGCCTCAAAAACCGTGTTGAAGCTCTGGAAGCCATCACTGGCACCGCATCAGCCAGGTCCAGCCGGCTGTCGGCCTCCTCTGGCATCAACATCATCGACCCACTGGACGCGTCGTACATTGACAGGAGTTCCTCTGGGCCCACCCTGACCCGCTCCGACAATGGGATCAACCTGGGGGCTGCTGGGCCAGGGGGAGGCGCAGGAAGCGGACCAGGACACGACAGCGCTGCCCTGCAGAGAGCCATCCAGCAGCTGGTCAGGTCTGAACTCCGCTCGGATGCTGTGAGAGGTACATGAACACAACACACTGATAAATCAACTCATTAATAGGTCTTTGTATCGGTAAGAATGTGTCATTGTGTATCACGATATATAGGGGTTACGATTCAATATATTGTAATATATATTGCGATTTAAAAAAAAACCCAGTGGGATCTGCATTTGTATATAGCAGTTGAGGGTTTACATGCAAAAATGATTGAGTGTTTTTTAGAATAAATACAATATCAAAACAAAATATCGCAATACGATATTTTTCTATATTTTGCTTACACCCCTACTCATTAACTCGTATTTGAATGTGACTGATCCAAACTTTTTTCTACTTTTAGAAACACTTACATACTCACTGAAAGGGGAGAGAGGAGATCCAGGACCTAAAGGTATGTTTGCAAAAATCATAAAATAATCTGGAAAATGTTGTTGATAACCTTCATAAGGCTGGCTGTTTCTTTACAGGTGATCCAGGGGCACTCGGACAAAAAGGTAAAGGATTGTCCTGTGTGTCTATGTGTATTCAATGAATTCATCAAACTTCAGCAGTGTGTGACATAAGAATCAAGCTCTTCAAACTGGAAACTAATGGCTATAAATTGGTCTTTTTCAGGTGATAGCGGCTTTCCTGGCCTACCAGGTAAGACTGAGAGCAAATGTGCTGAAGCTTTTTCCTTCCCATAGAGGTGGCAAATTCACTCCCTGTTGCTTCTCCACTCATATAGGTCCTCCCGGACAGATGGGTCACCCAGGATTGGATGGACCAAGGGGACCAAAGGGCAGTGCAGGTAGAGTCAATTTAAGGTCATTGACATTGTTATGTGAGGATGAGGAGACACAGGGAAAAAAGAAAAACATGGGCTGAGTCTTTCCTACTTTCTGAAAAGGTGAACACGGTCCAGACGGACCACCAGGCCAGAGGGGCCGGGAGGGACAGATGGGCCCCCGCGGAGAGACTGGACCCCCAGGTTTTGGAGAGAAAGGTAGGAAATGTCTTGCCCCATGTTGAATCATGGAAAGTTATTCGTTGAGGTGTTCAGCCTGACAATGAAACCCGGTTTTGACAGGATCTCAAGGTGAGCCAGGACGTCCCGGTCCTGCTGGTGCTCCTGGACCTGTGGGGCCAAAAGGTAAGGTCAAAGGTCATGATAGGTCAGATCAGTGGATCAAATTTAAAGGACCATAGCAGTTTTACAAACCCCTTCAACTGTCAATCATTCATGAAAGTCTGACACATTAAAAAACATCCTTTTTAAATCAAGTCACAATCAGAATCAATAATAAAAAAACTGATATCAAATCACTGTATTACATGAAGGGATATTATTAATAATGCCAATAGTCAACAGCAAGTATGTTTCCTTCCCTGTTTGATTTAGGTGCCAGTGGAGAGCAGGGGGCCTTGGGAAGCCCTGGTAAAGACTCCATTCCACACGATTTTCATGTTTTTGTCTGTTCTTTGGTCCTGATTGTCAGTCATGCCTTAAATTTGTTATATTTATCTGCAGGGGCTCCGGGTCTAAAGGGTTTCCCAGGTGATGCAGGAGTACCAGGAGCAAAAGGTACATTTCTGTTTTTTTCTGTCTTCTAAAATTCTAAAATGCTGTCAGAGGAAATGACGTTTGTGACAAAAAGACCGAATTCCATAGAAAGGCTACTGTGTTTTTCCAGAACATTGATTGATTAACTACAGTTATAGTAGTAAGGATAGCTTTTATCACTTTAGACCAACTCTCTGGTTGCTCCATTGACACTTTTTATTGTTTTTAATGCAGGTGATCGAGGGACACCGGGAGCGCCAGGAGCCAAAGGAGACCCAGGAGAGAGGGGACCACGTGGACCAGCAGGTGTGTCCCAGAATAGCTTTATATATCATGAACGATGCATCGTGTCAACAAAATATACAGTAAAAACTGGTTAAATGCTGACTGGCATGAAAACAGGGTATCAGTATTAAAGCAAGTCCATGTAACTTTTGAAAGGTTAATGAGCACTTCCATTCTCTCACAAATAAAGAGTTGAATGCATTAACAGAAAAACGCAGGAGCGAGTGGCCTTCCATGGAGGCCGCCATGTTAACTTGTGATGTTTCTACAGTAGCCCAGAACAGACACACCAAACACCGCAATAGTTTATTTCTATACGCTTGGAAGACAAACTGTATTTAGTTGACTAAATCCTTCACACTGGTCATTTAAAGGCGAACATGTTCGAAGCTCCTCAAATGGTGATCTCAAACACCAAACAATATCCTAAAATTCTGTATTTGTGTTATTTTATTCTGTTAAATATATAATAAGAGTTAGGCTTACTAAGTTGCATTTAAAAAAATGTTGTTAATGATAATAATAAAGCCTCATAACAAAAAACTCTTTTGATTTTGATGCTTTCTGTTTTCACGATTAAAGGTGAACCAGGATCACCTGGACCACAAGGCCCTGCTGGACAAATGGGATCCAAGGGAATTGCAGGTGAGGAGTGAGCTTAAGCACTGTAATAAAAGAAAATATGATATTTCATTAATAAGATGTCAAGACTAGGGAGGGATATAATAAGGACTGCATCATATCTCCAGTCAGTTTATTCTAATGGTGTCCTCAAAGAGTCACATGCTTGAATAACTACTGACATTGTGATGTTATTTGCTTAGATAGAAATGTGTGTTGTGACTGTGCTTTGTGAATACTATAAGACGGGTGGATTTGTTGGTAATAAGCCAGTGACATCAAATTACTTAGCAAAGAAAGCTACGCAGAGATAAAAAGTACAGAAGAACTTTCAGTGTATGAGCAGATAGGGGTTTAATGATGCTACCACACTGTCAGATCATGTGTCCGTTCGGGCAGAAATTGGTTGGAGCTGCAGGAATCACACATCTCAGTTATAAAACAACAGTTATGACATCTTTCTGCAGCTGCTGCCAAAGCAAGTGCACAAAAGCTGTATCAGTTGTTGTTTCTGTAAAGACTGTTCAGTCTCTCTGTATAAATTGCAGGTGAGAGCGGTTCGATTGGACTTCCTGGTGTGAGAGGACCACCTGGACATCAGGGAGATGTTGGTCCCCCAGGTACCACAACACTGTCTAATTTACGGCAGCATTCATAATCAACTCTGATGTAATCAACTGTGTTTATCAGAAATTGCCCGAGGAATTTCCTGTAGCTTATTTTTAATTGACAACAATTACTCACCAAGATTTCTTTTCCCCAGGCAATCCTGGCATTCAAGGACCCCCAGGTATGAGAGCATGTACCAAAATCCAAAAACTTATTTTACTCTCCTTAAAGATTATTAATTAGGTATATTTTAATGTTCATTCTCTGGTCCATTACCACAGGACTTGCTGGAAATCCAGGACAGCCTGGTGTTAAAGGTAATGCCTCATCAAAAGTTTCCACATCTGCTGCAGAGGTACAGGACACAAAAATAAAAAAAGTGCCAATAAAAAGAAATGAAAGTGTCTGGACACTCCATTCCCACTCAGTTTACTGTCTTAGTTTTGGGTAAAACTCATCTCATGGTATGAGATGTACCAAATGCACACAAAACATATCGATTCCCACAAGAAGAGGAGGAGTCATTAACTAGTTTAGCACACAGGAGTTGATTTTCTACATACTTACTTAACATACTTAAGAATATTATATTATGTGCAGCTTTTGCTTTTACTGGGATCCAGCTGCTTTGGTTATATGAGGGGGCTGTGTGAGACAAAATTTAAACATGCACATAGTGCTGGGTGATATGACCAAAAATGGGTATCAAAGCACTTTTTGAGATTTTGGCGGTTTCTGGGAAAATACTGTATTAATGTTTTTGGTGTTTTTGTTGCATGACAGGGCTTTATATAGGGTTATTCTGCTATATATACGCATAGTACATAGAACATAAAAACATTGCAGTGTCATCATGTATTTACTGAAGGCTTTGATTCAGGTCAGCTAACAAGCTCACTATAAAAAGCTAAACAAATTTTGCATGTTAGCACACTGTGCTAATTAGCACTGAACAAAAAGTACAGCTGGGGCTGATGGTTTTCAGGTGTTTGGTCATAAATGAAATCATTGGACAAATAGAAATGTCAACCTGTTGATAAGTTAAGTCATGCTTTATTGATCCCTGTAGGGAAATTCATTCTCTGCATATGGCCCATCCTAAGTAACAGGAGCAGAGGGCCACCCAGGGACCAACTCCAGATCTGAGCCAGTACCTTGGTCAATGCGCTAGATGAAAAGTTAGGGAATCAAAATTCCATGAGAATCCATCTAAAAGTATTGGGATAGGATTAAAGTAGCCAACACTTGAGCCACCACTATCTTGCATACACACTTATGTGTATATGAGAGCTACATCAGAATAACTAGCATTAATGCTAGTTTCATTCATAGAATAAACCTTTTTTGCCAGAATTTTGCAAGAATGTAATCTTTACTATTACTCTGTTATGATTTGAAATGCTGAAGGCCAATGTAACTATTAATAGGTCTATAATGTATAGTTGGATTAATAATCTACCATAACATTGTCTTTCAGGTGAACCAGGGTTACCTGGTAAAATCATCGCTCCAAGTAAGAACAGCTGCTCTTGTTGCACTGTGCATTCGTTTTTAATGTGGTATAGGAAAATACTGTGTTTTGTGAAGTGTAACTGGTGTTCGTCTTTCATTTTGATTGCAGTTGGCTCCGATACTGTGGCAATCCCCGGACCACCAGGGCCTGCTGGGGCTCCAGGTCCTGCTGGAACCCCCGGTCTGTCTGGTCCCATTGGCCCTGCTGGTGTCCCAGGACAACCTGGTAAATCCAAACTTTTGACCCATGTTAAGCATCTGGGATGGATCAACTGTTAGATGGATGTTAGGATTGTTAATACATATTGAACAGATTTTCTGTGATGGAAAATTGACACAATTATTTAGGTCCTAGGGGAGAACAAGGAGAGAAAGGAGAAAAAGGAGAAAAGGGGGAGAAGGGAGAGCAAGGAAAACCCGGCGAGCCTGGTATCAGCGTCACAAGTTCAGAATCTGTCACTGCCACCCAAACAGACAGTGAGTACCACTCTTTTTCTTTAATTCAGTACCTTGGTGCCATCTGGTGGTAGTATCAAGAAATACAGTGTATAAGACACAACGCTATCCTCTGTGAAACAGAACTTTCCTCAGCGGGTGGACAGCCTGGCCCACCTGGACCTCCAGGGCCTCCTGGAGAACCTGGTCTTCAAGGTCCTCCCGGTATGTCAAAAGCTATTTGTAAGATATCATGGGTATTAACAAACAGTTGACGATTATTCAAATGCTGTTGTCACTCTTGTTTAGGTGAGACTAAACAGGGTCCCCCAGGACGCAGAGGTCCTCCTGGACAGCCAGGTAAACTAGTATCTTGCATTACAGACAGAGAAATAGATCGTCAGCATACAGCATGATTTAAGCAATGTAAAAATAAAAAGTGATAATTTTCTCTCTCATTTCACTGCGTTGCTGTCCTTACAGGTGTTAGTTTACCTGGACCTCCAGGAGAGAAAGGAGAACCCGGCAGCTTTGTGCCTAACTCAGGTTGGTGAAAGAAATCTAATTTCAGATGTACTGTAAGTCTTTCGACAGCTGGACACATCATATTTAACTTCTACCATCTTCGCTTGCCACATTTGATGTATCCTTCTATTTTTTGTCTTAGAAACCTTTTTTGCTGGACCACCAGGACCTCCAGGACCCCCAGGCCCACAGGGTCCAGAAGGTAGGTTTGATAAATCAGATGCTCCTTTAGACACTGTGATACTTTCTTACAAAGCAGTTCATAGGACTGTAGAGTGCTATCCTAAAAGTCCTAAAACTTGGAACTGAATTAGCATGTTAGCACCTTTGGTTCCCACGCCTCAAAATCAACACGTTTTTGAATGGGTTTTTGGTTACGTGCCTGAACTAAGGTCTTTGGTTAACTCAAGCTTAGGGGATTTTCATGTTTTATTCTACATTGTTGCTACTCTAAGTCAAACATGGTGATTTTATTTTACAAGTTGGAAGTTTAGTGGTGGTGACGCTGAAGTCCTGCAACGATGGTGCTTAACGTTAGATTTTAACTTCTGACGATCAAATTCACGCTCACCTAAAAGAGGTGTTCATTTGTAAATGATTATCTTGCTGAACAAAACAAGGCATTATGAACCTTTGTTGTTGTTAACTTCTGGGTTGGCCTACAAAAATATGTCATCCCTGCAGAATATTTCTGAAACTGTGGCAGGTCAACATAAGACTTAGGATACTTCTTTAAAAAGATTTGGTTGTTGTTCACAGAAGATTTCTTTTATCTCATTCATTGTCCTCAGGTGGCAAAGGGATACAAGGGTACCAAGGTGAGAAAATTGCAAACTACGGCATCCATTGCAATGTTTAGAAACTTAAAACATCTGAGGCATAATGTAATGATGATTGTTTCAGGTGAACCAGGTCAACCAGGTCTTCCAGGGAGTCCAGGGGAACCAGGTGTTGGTATGTGAAAAACTTTTGGATAAGATGGATTAAAAAAAAAAAATATTTGTGGGCACTGCTATGTAGAAAATGAGTTTAGATTGTAGAGTAAATACATAGCAGCTGACGGCAGCTTTCCAGTTTCCTTGCTGTTCACATAAACCTTTGGGGACATTGTTACTTTTTTTTCTGTCATAGAGGCTTGTTGAAAAGAAAATGACCAAAGTAACACTTTGCTAAGATAGTTTGAAAAACATTTGGATCGTGTGGCCTTCAGCAGCAGATGGATTTATTTTGAGATAATTTCAAGGGACCTCCATGCTCTTTTACCAGATATTAAATCAGTGTTATGATTTTCAGGTTTCCCAGGTCAGCCTGGATCTATTGGACCTATTGGCCCGCAGGGTCCACCAGGCCCAGAGGGGGCAGAGGGGCAAGAGGGGCCACAAGGACCTAAAGGTAAACTCAGTCAAATGTTTTGAGTGACCTTCTTCAAATCCTCTCTTACAGACTTGTTACACTGTCCTGTTCTTTTGCCCATGTGTTATTACACAGGATTTAACAATAGTGATTGGTTACCCATACTTTCTGTCTATTCTGTCCCTCTTTCCCTGTGTTGCTTTTATTCAATCAAGTCAACAAAAACTGGAGTTTGTCTCTCATACTGTTTATATGTTCGTTGCAGGTGATCCAGGAGCCCCTGGTGCACCAGGACACCCTGGAGCATCCGTTGGTAAGACCATCCTGAATATCATATCAAATACAGTATATGTTTTAAGACAGCATCTTTAATAATAATCACCAATGCTGTTATTATAGTTGCACAGTAACTATAGCCCTAATTATACAGTCTGCTCAAGGCAGGAAGTTGGGTATGAACAGAAAAAAGCCAACAGCGGTATTAACAGAGCGGAATCGACTTCTGTGTAAAATGCAGGCACTCTTGCGTTACATGTCACAGCTCTTTTGCTGTTCTGGACCAGAATGACGGCTCCTCTTTATGGCACGATTGCAGGATCTCTGTTTATGGTTGACAAATACATGAAGACCTGTCAATCAGGAGGCAAACATTCTCCAAAAGATACATCTTTTTATGAATTCATTAAGACATTTTTGACCACTAGGGGTAGCTCTCAGTAAAAGCTGGAGAGACTCAATAATATTGATCAATCAATAATATATATGCAAAAACTGGAAAGTTGATTCTCATTGAGACTAGCAGTACCCCACTATACCATGCTCTCCCTGTCAAATGACATAGGGTTAGGGAGAGTCAATCTTAAGGGAAACTCTTGAGGATGAAGACTACAAGTTTGAAAAAGACAAAAATCTGGAACCTTTCTTGCAGAAAACTTTACATTTAAAAAAAAAGTTTTTTAGTGACAATTGCAGATTAAAGTACAGTACTTCATTGGTTTCACTACTCAGCAATGCTCATTGCTGCTTGGTCGAATGGTATTGCTAATAATTCGAAAGTAATAATAGCAGGTATTATTATAGTCATACTATTAATAATAGTTATTTATATTCTAAAATATTGTTTAAATTGCTATTTGAGTATTTGTATGTACACAACATTTTATTAAATCATTTGTGTTGTCATACCAGGTGGCTCATACAGTCCCGGCCCCCCAGGCCCACCTGGTCCACCTGGTGCACCTGGAAGAGATGGAAGTGGGTCTGGATCAACTGATGTGGGCCAGTACATGGCAGAATACCTTCAGAGTAAGCTATGTGTTTATTTACTTTGGTTTATGTAACACTGCAATCTAATGAAACACAGAGCTAAGTTTGAGACAAAATTGTCTTGACATGCAGGTGGTACCTGGCAGCAGTACCTGGCTGGGCCTCCTGGGCCTCCTGGTCCTCCAGGGGCTCCAGGGAACACAGGTGACGGGTTGGTCGATGATGTGGCCAACCGAGTTATGGCCTACATCCAAAGTATGACTAATTACATAATATTGTTACATCTGTTATTACACAGGGTGTCTGTGTGTGAGAAAACCACTTGTAAGTTTTACCTTTCCACGTTCAGGTAGAGGATATGATGGGACTCCGGGCCCTCCTGGTCCTCCAGGTCCACCAGGCTCCATCTCTTTCAATGACATCATTAGCATATTACAACGTAAGTCTAATTTGAGGGAGTATCCTGACAGATTACATAATGCACACTGCTACTACCTCTGTGTTTTCAGTTCTAACAGAGCTTTCCTAACATCACATAGCACGTGAGACTATCCGTCAAAGTGTTTCAATTATTTGTGTCCAGGAGACGATGTGAGGAGATACCTATCAGGTTTTGGTCCTCCCGGTCCACCAGGACCTCCTGGAGATCCAGGTCACGGCAGCTACAGCTTCAACACCCACGAGGTGGCTGAACGTGTCCTCAGCCTCATGAATGGTGAGTGTTACAGGAGGACCTATAGGCTACCTATTGAGAGAATTTGATTGTGGTTGACTGTGTATCCTGTCTGTCATCAGATAGAGGGATGGCAGGTGTACCTGGACCCCCAGGACCTCCTGGCCCTCCTGGTATTCCTGGAAACTTGTTATCAGGTAAGAAACACAACAGAGAGACAGCCTCCCAGTAAAACCAGGTTTTTGAGCTTGTCGTGTTCATTCTGAAGTAATTAGATTAAGTAGCATTCTCAAGTCACCAGATGTTCACTTTCATTATCCAACTAGGTGGATATGTGGGCCCTCAGGGACCTCCTGGTCCCCCCGGTATCCCTGGTCCACAAGGTCCACCTGGCCCACCAGGATTTGGGAACTACATCAGTTCAAACATTCATGACTATCTGCAAAGTGAGTCAATACATTTACTTCACCACTTAATGAGGAATTTATCTAAGAAAACATACTTAACATTTAATCTCCACATCTGTTCTATTGTCCCAAAGGGGTTGCCTTCAGAGGCCCACCGGGCCCCCCTGGACCCCCTGGACCCGAGGGCCCCCCTGGTCAAATACACGGACTGGTTTCATATGCTGAGCATGCCAACAAAGACACGCTTAAAGCAGAACAACAAGAATACGTCAGGAGTGAGTTTAAAGGAATATTCAACCAGTTTAAACCTGTAGAAAGCTTTAAAGCTAAAGTTTGAAGTCCTGGTCCTTGACTTGTTTGAGGGCATGAGTAAGGTTTAAAGGTGCAGTGTGTAGGATTTAGTGACATATAGTATGTAGTTGTCAGTTGCAACACATTTGCCTCACCCTCCTGTTCTAAGAATGTAGGAGAAACTACATTTGCCATTAAACATGCGAAAACATACCTATGAATATCATATTCCATTTCTGCTAATAGATAGAATACCAGGTGGACATGCACAAGGCTTACTGTTAACAACCCTTCATTCAATGGCACATTCTTGACATAGACCTTCACAGAAATGTCACTTCAACAATCTGTCTGTATTATAGTCAACTAAGAAGTCATTGGTTCCTTTTAACTCATCTTATGTTTTATTGACTCCAGGTGACAGTTCAAGAGCAGCTATGTTTGGACATCCTGGTCCACCAGGCCCTCCTGGACCTCCAGGACACAAGGGAGAGCCAGGAGTGCCCAGCACCAGAGACTGGAACATGGATACTAGAGACTACTCCAGTATGGCTGTCAAAGTAACTGATTACATCAAATGTAGGTGATCTAGAAGAAGTTTTTTCATAAACAAGACATGACAAGTTTTCTCACTCTGTGAACTGTGCTGAATTTACATGGCCTTACCTGACTGTCCTTCATATGAATGCAGAATCTGTAGGCACAGGATTTTGGCATTGGGAGCATTCTGGTTTCCGTTTGTAGTCCAAATAGTACTGCCTTTCACGTATGAGCGGGCTTTGGTTGCACGCAGGTAAACAGTTCATGTGTAAAGAAAAATTTAATCTGGGCTCTGAAAATGCATTTTCGTCTGACAACAATTTAGCTTTCTATTAGCTTTTTCAAATATTCATCTGCATTCATTTGCAGATAGACAGTTGCTGAAACAACAATAGCGAACAGGTTCAAGATTCTACTCTGCTGGTTGACTTCAAAGCTGACTGAGAAAAGCCTTGACTTCTTTGGGTTACATCACAGAGTTTTCTCTCATTTGCAGCCCACGGTGTGCTGCATGACATTGTGAAAGAATACAACAGTCGTATGTTCCAAGGACCTCCAGGACCGCCCGGCCCTCCGGGTCCCGCTGGATGGTTTGGTTCCCATGGAAACACCACAGATCTGTTAGAATACATCAGATGTAAGCAATTTGTACTATGCTGTTACAATAAAGCACAACTGATAGAAGTGCTGGTTGACACTAATCCTCCACTCTGGTATTTCCCAGCTCATGGTCTGTTGCGTGACATTGAACGGAACCACAGTGAACGCACTGCCCAAGGACCGGCGGGACCACCTGGCCCTCCGGGTCCCCCCGGATACAGCCGATTGTTTGGTTCCGATACAAGCGTCACTGATTTAGTAGAATACATCAAAAGTAAAGAAGCATTTACCAGTTAAAATGTCACACTCAACATTTACCCAGTAATGAAAAAGCTAAAGGGTGTGAGAAAAGCATGATGATGAAATGAATTTATCCTCTGACAGCACATGGAGCCATTATGGGACCACCTGGGAGGCCAGGACAGAAAGGGGACATAGGATTCCCAGGGCCAAAAGGTAAGAGAGGTACATCTAAAAAGAAAAAGAAAGGCAAAAGTGCAGTTTGGAACTAGAATTGTAAAACAGTGTCAGAACTATTTTGTTACTTGTTGTAAGGCTTCAGACTTTATTGCGACATCAAACGTGTAACCACCCTTCACCCGACAAAGGAAACCACAACATTTTTCTCACTTAAAGGTCCAGTGTGTAACATTCAGGAGGATCTGTGGGCAGAAATGGAATATCAAATTTATAGATACCTTTTAATTAGTGTATAATCATGTGAACATAAAAATTGTTACTGTTTCTGTTACCTTAGAATGAGCTGTTTTTATCTACAGAAGGAGCGGGTCCTCTTTTATGGACTCTGCCATGTTGAAACACCATGTTTCTACAGTAGCCCAGAACAGACAAACCAAACACTGGCTAGTTTTTCTTACATGCTTGGAACGGGAGGGTAAATCGAGGGTGTTGTAAACTGCAACTACACCAGTAGCGCCCCTAAACACTGCCCTACACACTGGACCTTTACATCAGACCATAGCATTTCACTCTGAAATCAATGTAAGCCTCAGAAATGTTTTTCAGTAGCATCTTATATTATAAAATCTATGATAACTGTAAATATATAATCACATTTGGTATTTTGTTTCCAATGTATATTTTGTTCAATCTCAAAGTTCTCTACTCTGTGTGGACACAGGTGAACGAGGCTTTCCTGGGCCTGAAGGACGCAGAGGACAAAAAGGTGACAGAGGTCAGTAGTTGTCATTTCACATTAGGAGCTGGGCCCCATTCTTCGTACATGGATTACTGATTTACTTGTTGATCATTTGACAAAAGCCTGGATTTGTCAGTTCTTCTAAACCCACTTCAAGTTTAGCTGGATTTGCTGTCAGCGGCTCTAAAACTGACTAAATTTACTTTACTTTTCAAGGTGAACCCCATGCATGAACTCATTTTTACAAAAATGTTGATATAATAAGTTTTAGATTGGAACAAATACAGTAAAAAGTCTAATCAAAAATCTAATCTATCTATTTTGGTCTAATTATCACAATTACATTTTCACAATGAGACATAATATACCCATAATATAACAAAGCATGTACAGTAAAAATGCAGCAATTTAAATTTAGTTTGGGCTAAAAAATAAAGATTTTGGCAGGTATAGAGTAGAAAATATTAAATAGGTTCACAATCTTAAAAAACAAGAAGATGCTCATTTTAACATTGAAACAGGTTTTGCTCGCTGTAATCATTCCTCCTGATCATACTGGCCATTAAGAGATCCCTTCATCGTGAGCTGAGCCAAGTGATGGAGGAAAAAAATCCACATTCCTCGTACAGTGAAAAAATATATTAGCTTCAGTTTATCTGATGCTAGAGTTAACTAAATTGGCCACTGAAGGAAACACAAAGAGAATCACAAAGAGACACAAAGAGGGAATTTAGCAATAAAAACACCGTAACTTTGGAAGATATTCACTTTGTCTAACTCGATTATGATGTAAGCCTGATTCATACTTACTACAAATGGACTGAATCAGACTGCTGAAACCTCATTAACTCCAGATAAACAATTGAATACAGTTTTACATCATGGCTGCAGTTTTTATCACATACATTGACAGAATGTAAGGAAGGGATCTTTTATTGGCCAACATGGATGATTACAGCAGGCAGAACCTGTTTCAATGTTACTGACTATTGTTTTATGACAGACTTGAAAAACCTATCCTATCCTGGTCCCTACAACGGTGTTTTAGGGCCACTGTAGGGAAAAAAGAAAAAAGAATGGAGCTGGGGGAAGGGGGTTATAAAGCAGTACATTTACGAGAAAAACGAGATGAGATTAAAGTCACACATTTACAAGAACAACAAGGAAGTTCCTTAGTACTAAATCTAGTTGCAAAGTAGATTGGATTAGGTCATCCACTGCAGGGAGAACACACGGCCAGCAGAGGCATCTGTGGTGTGATGAGGTTGATCCAACCTTTCAAAGTGAAGCGATGGCATTCCTTGACAAAAAAGTATTTTTCCTTGCAAATGCATGTATGTTTTTTTTCGTACATTTAAAAAAAATAAAAAGTCTGTTTTTTAAATTTACGGCTTTAATCGCTCTGAATATAACCCCCCTCCCCGTATTATTATTTTACAATGGCCCTAATACACTGTCAGATGCAGTAAATATGTGCTCTCTGTTGCCACACTGCCATGTCAGCTAATCATAGCTACAGCTGTATGATCAGCACTGAGCAAATCATACAAGTGCTAATCACACTTTCAATCAATACTCATGTTGGCCTATTTTCACAACCAACACTTATTTGAGATAGAGAGACTAACAAACCAGTAGAATGTGTCTGAAGAACAAAGGTAGCTGATACGATATGAAGGAAGGGGCCCTGCTCCAGACATCTGCTAATCATTCTGAATGTTTGATTTAATGTGATAGAACAAGCAGCAAACCAGTGCAGGTTACATCATCAGCAACATTTGAATCAAACCGTTGTTTTTCAGGAGAACACACACTGATGACTAAAAGAAGAAGGAGGGACGTTGGCGTTTAAGGGTCAAGTTACTGAATAGAAGAACTCCGTACTGGAGTTCTCTGGTGTGTATAAAGGGGATAAATGTACTGAAACACAGTGGATGCTTTTTTACCAATGTATCAGTTTTTATAGATGATTTGTGATTGTATTTTTATATCTTCTGGGTCGAGTTGTAATGTATAGTTTTGGATGTATTATGGGCCGTCATGCAGAAGGGTGAAATCTTTTATTTTGGGGGACTGAACGAAGTGTTGACTTTCACTTTGTCATACTGGTGGGCATTTTCTAACTCATTTTTAAAAAAATATATATGTATGTTTTTATTTCACTTAGCGTTTTAGTTTTTAGTTAATTACAACTATATGACCAGATGGAATGACATGAAAACATAACTACAGTACAGAGCAAATTGTTTATTTACAGCAAAATGAAAATCTACATTACACAGGCAGTCTAAAAACTATACATGTATCTTAAAAAAAAAAGCACAATGATTTTGATATGGATTTTTTCATTCAACATTCAGAATTTAATGAGTTTACTAATTTTTTAGTAGAATCTAACTGAAAATAACTGAGACAGAATAAAGGTTGACAGGTTTTGTAGTTCTATTTTTGTATGCTGCAAACATCCAATGAGCGAGTAAGCTTCACCACACAGGCTGCAGAGTGCTACACTTCCATATAAATAGCTACTGAGAAAGCTTTGTAAAAAGGTGCACAGCACTCCTTCATTGCATTTATCGTACATTAACAGCTCAGTTAATAAAATACCTTTGACTAACCGTAACCCCTCAATAGCCAATCATAAAGAAAATGAGATGATAAAATGAACCAATCAGAAGTCAAGATGGCCTAAACCAGTCAGGTCCATTTTTTGTTTGTTTTTACTACTGCATCAATACATCAATAATAATCTAAATAAAAAACACCAACTAAGAGCTTGCGTTCTGTTTTTGTTTCTTTGAATACAGATGCAATAATTCTGAAACTGTCCCTATGCTTCAGTCAGAGAACATTAAGTTGGCATGAAACCTGCAGTCTGACCCTAACCTTTAAAGGCGGTCATATTAGGTACACAGAATATCCTTACAGCTTTTCTTAAGTATTAAGGCTATTAGCTAGCATGACAATGAGAACAGTATTATTTCAATAGAAGGAAGAAAAGCCATGAAGGCCTACCCATGATACACCTGGTAGCAAAATACCTTATGAGGAGGCATAGGAAGAAAACCAAAGCAAATACAAAGGAGGCGGCATCATCATCATCATCTGTGACTGCAGGTTAGGTGAGTTTTGTTAGCTGAACTAAGAGCTGTTTGCAGTTTGAATTGGACATCATTGAAACATTGCATTCTTTATTCATCCCTGAATACTATAGATACAGAACTCTAGCATGACAATAATAAAGTGGTGTTACCTAAAACACAAAGCAGACCAACAAACAGGTACATAATGCTTGTGTCTGCCACCACAGTGGTTTCCTTAGTGTCCAATTAACAGTGATCCTTTGTCTCCACACCTCCTCTACCGTCCACAAACAAACATCAAAAAACAAACAAACAAGTGTCCACCTCGGCTTGTTGCTAAATCGTAATCTCAAGCCTTGTGCTCGAGACAGAAGGCAACCTGAAGAAAAACCCGGAAAGAAGGAATCATTTCTGCTGGAAAATGTTCCTAAAGCTTGCTTTGAGATCATGAATGAGACTGATTATTTTAACTCAACGCATCGAAATCGTAACACGTGTGGTTTAATAAAACATACTGTATCATTCCTTCAACAAGAGTGATATGAAAAACGTGTCTCCTTTGTCAGAAATACATTCTATTTCAGCATCAGTTCTAAATGAGAGGGTTGCTATTTATATTTAAACAAATTAAAATCATCAACATTATGTTTAAGTGGTATAAAAATGCTAACCTTTCTTTAGTGCAAAAGTCTAAATGAGAGAACAACTGAGCAGCAAATAATTATCAGAAATGTCTGGGATTTAAAAGCCAAAAACATCAAATTCTACAGGCACTGGATTCTTTAGAAAAACAATTCAATCACAAACAGAAGGTTGGACAGAGAGCTACTTCACTTTAGTGGTTCTGAGGTTTTGACCGGCACCTTGAATCTGAACATATCTCCTTCCAAATGACTATAATAGTGTGACAAAATGAGGGTCTTGGAGAGCTGAGCTGCATACTGAGGGACAAAGTCCAGAAACAGAAATGCCCTCCAACAGTTTTCCGAGAACGAAGGCAAGGCAGCACAGGCTTTACTGCCAGTGTGTGTGTGTGTGTGTGTGCGTGTGTGTGTGTGTGTGTGTCCGTGCATGTGTACGTTGGCTTCTTCTAGAAACCGGTGGAGTGGACGCTGGGGATCGGGTAGAACTTGGAGATGCGGCTCTGGGTGGAGGGGTTAAGGCACTCGGACTCTCCGCTCATCTTGAAGAACACTTCCTGTTCCTGCAGCTTCCTGGCAAACTCGTCCTCCAGGGCCTGCAGGAGCCAAATCAGTCCCACTTATTACACTGTGACGGACCATAAACCATATGTGGCTAATATTGTTTTTGGTTGTCAGTTTTTTATTATTCATAATAAGAAAATGAAAACTCTAAATCTTGGGACATTTGAAAAGTGCAGGAGTAATGTTTAGCAGACATCACCATCATCATCATCATCATCATCATCATCATCATCATCCCAGTGTAACAGCTACTGTACCTTCTTCCTGGGTCGGAGTTTCTCCCTCCACTCCTTCAGCTCCAGGCTGTGCTCCTCGTCTAATTCCTTCAGCTTCTGTGTCTCATGTTCGATCAGCAGGTGGCACTTTTCATTCTGAAACACACACACACAGAGGTTAGTATATTCAACAGAGGGTTTTTACATGCTACTGTGGCTAAGGTAGCCCTTTTTAGCTGTAATGGTAAGGTAAAACAAGACTGCATTTAAATAGTGGATAATAATTGTCCATTAAACTGCTGTTAACACTTCAATTTAAAGTTAAGGATCCCCTCCAGACAAATATACAAACAGTCTTGTAACAATAATGTGTCTGATGTTTTTCCTGTTCATTTCCACATTGAAGTCCTGCTGGCTCTCTACCTGCAGCTGCTGAAGCTCTCGGATGTTGGCGTCACACTGCAGCTGCAGGTCTCTCATCTGGTTTTCATGTTTCTGATGCTGATGGAGCCTCTCGTTCTTCTGTCTCTTCTCTTCCTGGGCAGCAAACTGGAAAACAGAGACACGATCAAGTCTTCACATGACAAAAAAAAGAAGGTTTATTTCATCATATTACATTCCATAATGCTTGTCACCTGTTTGACCTTCTCCCTCTCTTGCTCGGGGCTGATGGCGGCGCCGGTGATGCGGAGGCTCTTCTTGA